GAGAAAATTAAAGAAAAGGGGGTAAGCGGACACTTTCTTCTTTTTTTTTTGGTCTCGAAATTTGAAAATTTGACATTTTTCTTCGTTGGGGGGGGGGGGGGTAAGGTTACCTTTTTTAGGTTTGCTGTGGGCATATTTTTTTTTTTTTATAATTTAAAAAAAAAAAAAAAAAAAAAATCCAAAGGGGGGGGGGGGTTTAGGTTTTTTTAGGGGGGTTTACACACATAAAAATACCAAAGGGGGAGGGGATTTTAACCCCCCCCCCAACCCCCCCCCCCCCCTGCCCTGCGTACGCCCCTGGAATGAAGGGTGCATGTTTAATGTGGAAAAAGGAAAAGAAGGCACTTATCCGCAAAAGGGAAAGGACAGTTATTAAAAAGGAAAAGGAGCACAGAAAAGAGGAATTTCTCCCACCTGAAAAGAGACATTCGCCAGAGATGAAAAGGGACACTTATGAGAATGGAAAAAAAGTTTATTCGGTTATAAAGAAAAAGGGGTACCTGTCATTTTCTGATAGTGGCAATTGTTGGGGGTGAAAAGGGGGCATTTTATAAGAAGGAAAAGGTGCACTTACCAGAAGGAAAAGAGGCACGTGTCAAAATAAAAGGGTTGTTTATCAAAGGTGAACAGGGGCACTCATCAAAAAAGAAAAGGAGTACTTATCAGAAGAAGAAGGCGGCAATTATTACAAAAGAAAAGGGGCACTTGTAAAGGTAAAACGTGTACCTGTTAGATTTGAATAGGGGCAAATATCAGCGGTGAAGAGGCATTTATCAGAGGTGGTAAGGGGGTACTTCTCGTACCTGAAAAGGGGGACTTACCAGAGATGAAAAGGGTCACTTATGAGAATGGAAAGGGGACATTTATCAGGTGTGAAAAGGGGCATTTGTGAGAAATGGAATGGGATCTTATGAAAAGATGGGGGTGCACTTATCACAATGAAAAGGGGAAGGGGCACTTATCATTTACATGTGAAAAGGGGCACTTTGGGGCTACCTCAAAAAGTAGAGGGACACTGTGCTACCCTGCCCCCCCCCCCCCCCTTCCCAGGGAGCGCCGCCTCTGATGACATTACAATGACTTGGTGAAGTGTTTCCGTGACTTGGTTAAGAATTATCCCTCGAAAATTTGCATGACATGTTTAATATTGTCAAGTTGTTGTGATTTGATGAAAAATGATTAGGCCTCTTTGGTACATGACAGTCACTTGATGAAGAACTCCCTAATGTAAATGTAACATTATGTTGACTTGGTGAATATATCTTGTGACTTGTGAATAATTAATGTCTACCGAAAATGTATTATACCCCATTGACAGTGGTTTTGAAATTTGTAGCGGCGTTGTAGCGGAGCGGCGACACCGCCATAACACCGCTACAAATGCATTCACAGTAGAAAAGTTATCCCGCTGCAGCAGCGGGATAAATATCATGTACCCATTCACGCTGCAGCGGGTGATTTTTATTACCTCCGTAACAAACACGTGTATGCATGGCTCATGACCCGCGAGTGACCCCGATATGACCGGAAATACTTCAGCGCGGGGTTTTCGATTGCTTGAAATTGCGCGCGCTAGCTGTACTTTACACACTCTTTTTAAAAAACTAGCATTTTTATTGCTTCCAGTCAGAATATTTTAATTTTTTGAAGTGTGAAATATTTTTATTTGGATAATTATAATATCTACATAATAATAAAATCAATTTGAATCCACTGGTTACTTTATTTCTATTTCACTTTATGTTCCCTATTGCTGGAGAAAAGAGGTCAGTGATAGGTAAGTAAACAAATCACACGTGTTTGTCGCGGTGTTATAGCGGAGAGCCTTCACACTGAGTAAACACCGCGACAGCAGCGGGACTGTCCCGCTGCTGTAGCTAGGCGAACCTAGCGATAGTTTGTCGCGGCGTTATCGCGAGGCGGTGTTATCCCGCGATAGTTTATAACGGGTCCGAGCCTTCACACTGAAGACAACACCGCGACAGCAGCGGGACAGTCCCGCTGCTGTCGCGGTGTTTGAGGCCACTGTGAATGGGGTATTAGTGACGAGTTCTCATGACTTCGTGAATATTAACATACATGTTTATTCGACGAATATATATATGACGAGGACTTATTCTCGTTTTTTTGTGTTCCTGTTTGTTGTAGTTGTTGCTGCAATTCAAAAGATTTGCTGAGTAAGATTATTTGTTAAATACATAGGTCATAGAAAAGGCTTACAGAATTACAAATATTTATATTACCCTTTCTGTGTTCTGTGTTAACATCCCCTACCACACAACACACACCTTGCAGGCACCTTGTAGGTAGCGATCGCTGAGCTGATGCTAGTACATGTGTGTCTGTGTGCGTGCGCACGCGCGTGTGCGTGTGTGTTTCTGGTGTTTGTGTTTCTATTTTTTTGGAATTATTAATGATTCTGTGCAAAACATATCATATCGTTATAAATGAGTAATAATTTACAACTGTATATAATTATGTTATGTTTCTGTGATAATGAGTAAATACACTGTATACGTATAATGATTATAATGCTGTTATGCATTTGTAATAGACCAGTTCACGGTTAGCACATGGCTGCAATGACCCCTGACCCCGAATATCCACAGATCTTCAAAACATGAAGAGGTCCCACTTTGTACATTTTGAAATTATCACTCCTACAGCGATGGAGATGCTATATACTTATCCTTTGTTTCCCCTTTTCAAAGAATACTTCCACCTGTGTATCATGGAGTGCTCTGCTTGTGCATACATGAATAATGATTACATAACTTTCATGAGCACGTATCCGGTATTCCGTCTACGTGTATTTCACAATTTGTTCTGCAATGACCTTTATCTGCTCATGCTCAGACTGCAACCGTTAACTGGCTTATAGTTTGAGATGTAAAAATGGAAAGTTGTGATTTGTTATTATAATACAATTTATGTTAAAGTAATGTAACTCCAATATCTTGTAATATTATGACAAACTATGTTTATATATCATTCTGTTATTATTTTGTGTGCATTGGATGAACAATAAAATAACTTTTAGAATAAAAATAAAATGTCCAGAATCTGGCCGGTTCCTTATATTTATCGGATATTTATATTCCCTACAATTGAGCATTTTCTTTCTCTAGTGCGACTTACGGAAGTGAGTCCTGGGCCATGACAAAGAATGACAGAAAGAGAGTTAATGCCTTTAAAACGTGGTGCTACATGAGGCTGTTGCAGGTGTCATGGAAAGATAAAAAGACAAATATGTGGGTCCTGAAAAAGATTGGAACAGACTTGACCATCAGAAGGGAAATCATGGAAAGAAAACTTAACTACCTCGTCCACCAATATCTTGGACTGATGATATCAAGAAAGTGTCTGGACAAGGAATGAAAGGTGCAACACAAATGGCAGGTGAAAGATTTGCATGGCGTGCTCTCGTGAAGACGACAGCAGCGCTTTACAGCGCCACCTGAAGTTGATGATGATGATGACAATTGAGTTAAGCCGCCGAAGATGGCGCTATCATTAACAAACTCATTACGCTCACCAGCTCAGCCTTCGCCAGGCGTCGTAATTTCAGGATCATGACATCTTCGAGTGGCAGCAAGTGGAGATCGTATTGCTTTGGTTTTGGAGGAGATCAAAATCAAATAGGCCAGATTCTGGACTAAGATGTATACACAACACATAAATAACGTGTGCATGGTACAGTGGTTGTTTACATAAAATGCAATATGTATGTAGCCTACTCATCAAATTGGCAAATCCACACCGTTAGTGCACTTTGAACGGGCTAATGACCTTCTGCACGCGCGAGTTGGTTCAATCTTTTTTCTACCCTCGCTTTTGCTCTGGGTTTTCCCAATTTCATGTAACGTGACAATGGTTTGTCTTTGTTTGTCATTGCTTAAAATGGTTTCCGCCTCCACATAAAAAGGCAAATGATGATTCACTGCAAAAAATTGACATTTATCCTAATATGTAAGCGTTGGTCGCTATATACTTCAGCAAGTTCCTGCAACAAAAAACGACAGGGCTGTAAAACTAGAACTTCTTGGCAAATTGTAAACCGCTAGTACTACAGGGGTGCTCTATCCATGTCTTGTTGCTGTTGTTACTGTCCATGAGGACCAATGCATTTCTTTCAACAATAACAAATCGCAAGTTCTTTATACACAACAAGATTTAACAAGAAATATATACATGTACAAAATCGAAAAGCTTAACATCAGACAAATTTTGCAACATAGATACCGTATTCGGGAAGCTTGTCTGAAAGCGATAAATTTAAACAGTCATTTTGAGTTGACATTACAATATGCTGCCAATGAAAGGTATAGCCACTCGCTAATATAAGAAGTGTGCCTAGTATTATGTTGGGTTTTCTTTTCAAAGCAAAAACTTAGGAACATGCATGTCTTTAGAGTGAAATGAAAAACATTAATGACCTTTAACCTAACTCTATTTGAAAGGTAGAGATTGTAATATATATTTTGTTTTAAATATCAATATTTAGTAAATTCGATTCAATTCCTCAATATGGCAAGAATAATATAGTCTCAGGTATAGAGACCAAACCGTACATAAGACACCATACAGTAATATATGAAACATCATAGTCCCCTCTCCTCGATGTTGATGGTTAATTTGGTCGACTATGATGCATAAGAATGATTGAAACCTAAAAAATAGCCATATATATATCATAGGGTTTAATATGATGATGATAGGCTCAAACATTGTAATGATGGATAGAAACTAGCGTGGAATATTGTGCTTCCACCATTAACATGGAGAGAACTATTGTAACATTTGCGCGTGGGCATGAAGGCAGTGGGCAGATTAGTGTATGTGATTCAAATAATAATTTTCATACCACAAGCCAAAGGTCGGTTGATCATCCATTAAAATCCCTCATCCGTTTGTACATCCGTGTGTACATCCTGTTGTACATGATACTTGCCTTATAAAGAACTTCCTACACCCAGTAATAACTAGACCTACTATGTAACTATGTCTAGCCATACGACAAATCTGTATACTATTGAGCGTGTAACGTGTTTGTGCGCGTATTCAGGGCGAAATCTGTACAAAGATGGCTACTTCCAGCTCGGAGATTAGGAAAGGGAAGCTTGATGAGTTACGACATGAAATCTTGTCGTACAAACCAGGCAAGGCTGTACCTTGTGATGATGAACGAGTGGTGTTTCCTGATAAGCTTGTTATTGGTACGATAGGTATACCCGAGCATGCGTACAGCATAGTCCCTGTCATGAGAAGTGCTCTTTATGGAGACGTAGAGCATCGCAAGCTTGCTGATGAACATCAAACATCTACTGATCAGGAATATCTGACCGATTCTATATACGTCATCACAAGAGAAGCTCTCTTCCCAGGTTTGTATATTGAAAAAAGAGCTTTGTTGTTTTGTTTGTGTTTGTTGTAAATCCGAAATGATACTACGCCTCCACTATGAACATGTATCGTTGGAATAAAAGCTATTTCATTAACTCTAAGGTAGGTTTTTGGTAAAATAATGAATTGCATTGACAAATTACCCCTCGTCTTTAATAGACTAGCATTGTAAAGAATGTCAAAAAAATCTAAATATGTTGGGTAATTTCTTATTTTGTTTTTGATTGTCTCTAAAAAACAATAATTCCCATGTGCCAAAAATGGGACAATGTAAACCAACTGCCCAATTTGTATTTGTATGTTTTGTAGAAGAAATAAATTCAAGTTAATTCAATTATGGCGGTTTGAAAAAAAACTACGCGATGATCCTATTTGATGTTGTTATGGGTGTTTTATTAAGGGTTTTGGAATTGTACCATTATTATCCGCACTGCAGTTCTTACAAAATTCCCACATGACATTATACTTACATAGGACAACATAGATGCATGGATTCATCATTATTTTGGCAACCCCTTCTTTCGAACCCATGTAAGATTCTCTTTATGAAACGCATTAAGTTCACCGTTTATATTTTCACAAAATATATTTTTGTGTGGTTTCATTAAATGTTATTGCAAAAACAATTCATTCATTTGTGTTATTCTGGCATAATGCATGCAATTTATAGAACTACCCAAGCTTTTCTATTTTGCTCTTTCTCTACTTCTGCATGTAAGCTAAATATCATGTTAATAATATCCAAAAGGTTCATCATGCACAATGTATCAAATACGTTCTCTCTTACCATCTTACCAGTTTTAAACGAAGAAATTGTACGAGACCTTGCCGGGAAGGTCGGACGTATCGTGCTGTTACTAACGTGAGTATTAATCTTCTCGCTCTACATATTCACATGGGCAATACATATTTGACTGATATAGACTACCATTTTTGTAATCGCATAGTAATGCTGGTACGCTTATGGCTAGATGATGTCTTTGGAATATTTATATGGGTAAAAGATTTTTTTTTGTTGGAGATTGAGCCCATTCGCTTGTATAGTAATGCGGATACGTTTGGGCGGGGGGGGGGGGGGAAATGTCATGGTTTGCCCCTAGCGGAATAATACTTAGATATTCACCACTGTTTATCACTTTTGTGTATGCAAACATGATTTTATAATGTTTCTCCTTACTTCTGTTACCCGAATTTGACAGCAAGGTGCCCGAATATGTTCGATATCTTTACATCTTTAATATCGACAGTGGCGTAGACAGGTTCGTACACCTGGGGGGGGGGGATGACTGGGCTGCCAACGCTAGTGAGGGAGCGAAGCGACCGAGCGGGGGGAGGGGGGTGTCCCCCCTCCCACGGTAGGGAGCTTTTGCAATTTTGAACTTGAAATCGTGCAATCTGATGCATACTTAATGAGGTAAAATAACACACACAAGCGTGCACGCACACACACACATACTCACACACACACACACACACACACACACACACACGCACACACACACATACACACACACATACTACGCCTTGAATGGACAGACATACATCGACAAGATCTACACACCGTGGCATACGAATACAGAATGGACTGACACATAGTATTGCATATTGAACCACACTACGTATTTATTTATCTCTGTGAATGTTGCTGTTACACCTCTTCAGAAAAAAAACCAATGTCAACTGTGTACACGCAGGTATGGTCTTTGTTGTCTTGATAGGGGTATGTGGTTATGAATGAAAACAGCCTCTGTGGCCATTTGTGAATAGAACACATAAACAACAAACAAATAACGATTAAACTTTGAACAATATGTCTGTTCATTTATAAAGCATAATGAATACGTACATACTATGCTTTTTTACCTCAAAGAAACAGGCATAGTATCCATAGATGGATATTGGCTGGCGGCTCATTAACATACAGATACAAAAAACATAAACAGTATCACTATGATCCATGGAGTAACAATACTGCTTTGTAAGTTTGTGAAGAAATCGGAACCATAACGGCATTGCATCGTTTCAAATTAGGGCATTATTTACTTCTATTTGATCTCAGTCTTATAATAGTAATAGTAATAATAATAATAATAATAATAATAATAATAATAATAATAATAATAATAATAATAATAATAATAATAATAATAATAATAATAATAATAGTAATACAAATAAAAAATAATACTAATACAAATAATAATGCTAATACTAATAGGTTCCTTTTATCTCGCATTTCAAGACAGGGTAAATTCACACTGCGCTTTACATGAAACAAACTTCTTTAAACATTTCAAAATTATGTCTTCATGCATCAATCAACATACTTTAAATAAATACAAAACAAAGTGCATCTTAAATAAAACAAAAATAAATAAATAGTTAACAATACAGAAAAGATGTAGCTGCTGCAAGCTGAACAACAAACTAATGTATACCAGTCAGTCCTGATATCAGTATTAGTGTAACAATAGTCATATAGTGGGAGCATGAAGTTGAACAATTCATGATTATACATAATTATATATGTTTGTCTGTCACGAATTATTATGTATACTGTTGTATCACATTCATTTTCTATTCTGTTTTAGAATTGGCTTTCACCGTGTGAATGCGGCTAACAATAAACACAATTACAATAATGATGAGGATTATTATTATCATCATCATAATTATTATTATTATTAATATTATAATTGTTATCATTATTATTATTACTATTATTATCATCATTATGACTTATTAAGTAAGCAAATATCATTCCCCAAAACCTGGGGGGATGATTGTACATGCCATCCCCCCCCCCCCCACCTTGTGAGGTGGGGGGATGCATCCATCCCCCCCCCCCCCCCCCCCCCCCCCCCCCCCCCCCCCCCCCGTTGTCTACGCCCCTGAATATCGACATTATGAAGGATTCACGGTCATAAATTACGGCGCTTGAGGGCGCATGACATCGTTCTGATACCGCAGACCGAAATAAACACATTTTCGGGGCAATGTGGCAAGGAAAATCGGTAACAATTTCTTTTCTTTGACGTGGCCTTCGGTAGATACGGGTTGAGAATCAAATTGTGTGCATAATAACGATTGTGCATTTGAACATTTTCTCATCTTTATCAGCCCGTCTCTTTTCGACTATTACCAACGATGGATCGAGGCAATAAAGAAGTTGACAGGTGAGTTTGCCCATCATCCTTTACGCTAGGTGGGACGATAAACTGAAGACGTATGAAGGTGTTTCTTAAACAATTGTGAATTAATAAACAACCGCACTGTTGATACACCTAATACAAACCACCGTATTGATTAAAAGAATGGACAAATGAAGAGATGGATAAATGAATAACATTACAAGCCAGATTACCTTCGCGCATGAAACTTTTGAATATGCAGGTTGGTAAGTTGTGTTTACATATTTGAGGATTGATGTTAATTGCAAAGAAATTAAATGGGTAGGTACGTGTATCTAACAATGATGACACCTGCTATAGAATTGTTTTTAAACAGTTATGACTAGGATGACAAAAAAATCGAGGAAACAACCATAATTCATGCAATATGACCCTAAAATCAAGTACTTATCTTAGTTTTCTATATTATCCATTATGCATTCAATTTCGATCATGATGATATCGTGAACTCTAACACGCCCTTCGTCAGTTCAATTTGTAAATTAAATACCTTTTCTTTCCTTGTGCATGCATGCTGATACTTTCCTCTTATTGTGTAGGTCTGTATTATTATATAATAGGTCCATGTGATTACAAATTTTCATTTTCATAGTTGTAAATGTATAATTATCTCCTGACTACGGCTATGTTTACTCCCTTTTCAGGTTCTACTGCAGTCTTTTTTCTTTATTACTTTTCTCCCCCCCCCCCCCCCCCCCCCCCCCCCCCCCCTCTCGCTCTCCATATATCCTTCTCACACTTGCCAGTTCTATCTACAACCCTAGAAAATGGTGGTATACTTTATGCACATACAGCACGTTTAATGGCAATATTTGAAAGCACAGATGTGAATGAAAAATGAACAGATTCGATCCTTACTCTGGTGTAAAAAATATACCCCCCCCCCTCTAAAAAAAAGAGGGATTAGGTGACTAATGTGTGGTACATAGAGGTCATGAGACGATTAAATGACTACTTTCGATTAAACTGTTTTTTGTGTGTGTGGATAGGTCACGTCCCTATATGTGCCATGGTACCTACATGGCAAAGGGAAGACATCGAGGAGGCAAAAGATAAACTAAAAAAGCTCGGGATCACTGACATCTATGACCTACCTCCCATTGGTGGCAATCTCTCAGATGAGAAACGGTTGCTGAGGCTTGATCTCCTCCATGAATGCCTGAAGAAAGGTGACGAAGGGATATCTGCTGACTTAATACAGCTGTATTCTTTACCCAGCTTTGAGCGGTTACGGAACCAATGGAGAAAGGATGTCACAGAAGCACAGAAGAGGCACGGAGAAGACATAAGAGAAGAAGAAGAAGCAAAGAAGTTACTCCGAGGTAGAATTACAGACTTAGAGCAGGAACTCAACGATTCCCGTGCAAGTCGCGCAAGCATAGTCAGTGAAAAGGGAAGGCTACAAGATACCATGAAGGTTGAACAAGAAAGACGTGAACATAGTGAAAGGGCAATGATGGAAAACGAGAAAAGAGCAAGACAGATAATGGAGACGTATAAGCAGAGGGAGATGGAATTTGAAAAGAAACTACAATCAAAGGATCTGCGTATCGAAACAATGGCTGAAAATTTACAGGGGACAGAAGAGAAGGCAAGACGTCAGGTTGACCGACTTAAGCGTGAGACCTGGAAGCTGAGAACCAAAATTCAACTAGAAAGTGAGATACGATCAGCAGAGCAGAAGAAGAAAGCAGAGACACATCAATGGAGTTTCATTCGCTGGGTGGGTTCTGGAAAACAAGCTCAGAGTGGTAAGACTTTATTTTCCAATCTCAATTTCATTTAATTTTTTTTTTTTTAAATGTATACAATATATTAATCCAATCCAATTTGTTGATTCTTTTTTAAACATTTTTAATGTGAAGCTTATCAAATCCAATATGGTCTTTATAGCTCTCTACCCCATTTTTGATATCTTTTTAAAGTTTGAAATTACTTAGAATACCGATACAGTGAACGATAGAGAACATTCCAAATTTGTAACTTAAATTCAATTTCTTCCTCCTCATTCACACTGACTTCATTCCTTCATGACAGGCACATCATCATCTGAGGATAATTCAACCGGAGGACTGGAAAGGAGTGATACATTACAAGCAGGGTGAGATGAAATATCTTTACTCTTTACATGGCAAATTGACAATAAACGCATTATTTCTCTTATAGTGACAACTCTACTACGGAATGTATTTTGGTGTGTAAAATGAGTGGTGCTAGACGGTCAATAACAGTGCTAAAAGTGCGGCAACACTTACGTTCTATAAATCCAAAATCATATTTAGAAATGTCGTGACCACCTGTGATTATGTTAAAGCAGAAGTGAATAAAAGATTGAAACTCGATATTAAAGGGAAAGTCCACCCTGAAATTAAGTTAGTTTCAATAGGAGTAGAAAAATGAGAGAAACAAGTCAGTGAAAGTTTGAGCAAATTCCGATTAAAAATAAGGAAGTTAGGATTTTTGAAGTTGTGATCAATCAAACACAAATTGGCAACTCTATGACGTATCATGCGAGCTCAACTTCCATTTGCTCAGTACTAAAAAATTCTAAAATTTTCATTTTCCCTCAAGAAAAATTTCAACCGTACATGCACCCTAAATATAATAATTGCAAATATGTTTCTATACTCCCCCTGCAAGGAACAAATATATATTCCATCATCAATAACGAAGAAAACATGATTTTATGGAATATTATGCACAAAGCAAATGAAGGAGAGCTCGTATAATAAGTCACAGAGTTGCCAATTTGTATTTGATTGATCACAACTTCAATAATTCATAACTTTCTTTTTTTCATTCAGAATTTGCTCAAACTTTCACTCACCTGATTTTCTTATTATTCTGCCTCTATCGAAACAAACTTATTTTGGGGGTGGACTTTCCCTTTAAACAAAGAAATGACAATCTTAGCTGCATTCCAGTCTACAATGATTTGAGTTGAAAGTGAAATCGTTTAATGAATTTAAATAAAATTTGTTAATTCGAGCATGTCGAGCATGTCGAGCATGGTCTCTTGATGGGATCGCTGTATATCTGTGTCATTAAACTGCTATAGGTTGACTTTAACAATGAAAACGTTCTGTAATGAAACAAATAGAAGATGATACTCTTGATTAGAGTTATAATATAACATAATCCTCTATAGTCTCATTACGGGAAGAACTTATTTTTTTCCTTTACCTAAGTAAATATTATTTTGTATTAATTTTAAAGTTGATTCGTCATACCTACGTTCTTTGACCGCCCCCATGTTTGTCTTTGTTACCATTCTCGGGACCATTCTAGAGAGGAGCCCCCAGATGATGAGTTTGCAGGCATATTACAGCAGATAGCTGACGACCTTTACGATGAAGCCAAGATCGACAGCCTTGGTGGTCAGCTGGGAATCCTACATGGTGATATACAGAGAGCACTCATGACCAATATGAGGTTCAACCGTGTTACCAGTGATGGAACTCGTCATATGCTGAAACAATGGAGAGAAGGTGTGTCCAGGGAAGATGAACGGATTGAGCTCAGGAAGGCACTGCAAGGTGCCAAGTTGGTCAACCTTGCAGACCTGTATCTCAGCGAAGGTAACGTATATTTTCATTAAGAACAATTGTAGTTTCGTAATCGAGGACCCCATTCAACACTTCAGCAACATGCTGTTCTATTCGGTATACAATACGGCCCATGTGTTTGAAGTCAGATTGACGGTATTTCTGAAGCAGATTCGATTTCCACATTTTTACACTGTTGATATAAATACTAAGGTGACGTAATGCAGAGAGGAGATACTTAAAAAGAGCTTAGGTACAACTTTCAGTTAGCATTTTCCTCACGAATAAAAAGCCAAACAGATGCTTACTACTAACTTCAAGTTCTCATCTACAACCTGGTGAACATTAAAATAAAAGAAATTTAAAATTCACCGCCATAAGTTCTACACAATCATAAAAATTCAATTCGATGTGTTTTGATAAATAAACCAATTGTCTGTTTTCTTTCTTACTGCCGGTTAGGTGTAGTAGAAGGACAGATCGATAGTGAATATGATAAAGAAGACGTCAATGATGAGCAGCTCTCTGCTAGAGATGAGGCCTCTCTAGAAGAGGACCAGATCAAAGGACAGACCGACACCCAGGTACTTCAGGAAGCTACAGCAAGCAATGACCACACTCCTCGAGATGGGCATACAGGAGAGATGGATTCCAAAACCCAGGAGGACTTGACAGATAGAAGTAGGAGTCAACATCCTGACAACTCACCGGAGAGGAGTACCAAGAACTTGGATGCATCTGAAGTGACTTCTGAAGACGTGTCATCTGAAAAAGTTCATGCTGGTGATGATATGACCAATGTAAGTAGCATTCAACCTGCTGACCAATCGCCCATACATGAAATGCAAGACGTACCTGAAGATATGTCTGAGATAGCCCCTCTGGTATCTTTGGAGGAAAGCCCGACGAGGAATCCACCATCTTGGAAGAAGAAGATCTGATTTCTCAACTCGTTCTTATTGATCCATTCCCGGAGAAAATAATGCTCCTTTTCCTCCTAAAGATCATAATGGATAATCCCCAGAGAGCACTCAGTTTATAAGGAATCACTAAAGAACCTTCATCAAGCCAAGTTTACAACAAACCTAGCTTGCGACGTTCCAGGTTCACTCCTGGATGCTTCATCGGGCCGACCGGTCTCTGATGCTATATGACTCTTGACCCGTGAGTGACTCTTGACCCGTGAACATGGTGCTCCGGTCGACGAACGTCAGGAAAGAACTGCCCTTCTCTGATAACCTTTCAAAGACCCGTCGGTATAGTCGGCCTGATGAAGCGTCCCGCGGTGGACGTAAGGCGTTGTAAGCAGGAAAAAAATCCAGTTGATTTGTTTATAACATTTAATGTTACATGTATTTCTAAGCATACTTTGTTCATATTATATTGTAAAACAGCATCTAAGGAACTAACACTTCAACAAGCTCTACTTCAAATTACTTCCTCTTTTCTCGTGCTTTTTCCATTATATTTGTCGTTTCATTGCATAGTTTTGGTGATATAATTATTCTTGTATTATGTTCTGTATGAGAAATCAAATCATTTGAATTATCGAATTATTAATCAATTACCTGAATGGTTGAGAACAGTAATAGACATAACCTTCATTATCATTATCCGAACCATATTGTGTTTATTGCAATGCTAAAACTTATATCCAAACACCGCATACATAATTTCAACTATGTTTTTTTTTAATATGACAAGAATGGCATGCAGGGCGTGAATTTTTTCAAAGATTAGATTTTGATTTCTCTTTTGGAAAGTTACATGATAAAGAACCTCAATTATTGGTAGCAATTATAACAATATAAACTTATTACAGCCGGAGCAAAGTTTATATATTTTTAAACTTTAATCTCTCCAAAAAATATTAATTATGGTCAATCATTTAATGTTCGAATTTCACATTTCATTTTATTGCTTAAAAAAAAAATTCGAAGCAGACGAATCGAACTTTTTCAATTAAACAAGTTGCAACGCTCGTTTTTATTTGTGTACCTACCGCCAGTTTGAGTAGATAGAAGTAAATGAATATATGGAACAATAACGAAAAACATGAGTGAATAATGAATATTAAAGTAATGATCAAACAGATGTACAAAATATAAACTTTGAACGTATAATAATACCCAACAAGCTGTACATAAGTGTCATAAATTGAATTTTCATTGCCTATTTAAAATGCTTTAATTCATTAAAAAAATATTCGCGGCTCGAGAGCTGAATTGCAGTTTAAAAAACAAAGTATACATCAGTAAAAAGTAAAATTACACGTAATACATTTTGCGTAATAACATTATGGTAGTAACATTTCAGTTCGTTTTGTACATAGAACGTATAATTATTGTGCTTCTATGACGCCTGCTCCGGCTTCAATTACTCCGTGTGGCAATTAAGTACTTGATCAAACTCCCGATCCCAACCCCGGTCAGGAATTTACCTACACCGCACATAGCACCAACACCAAGCACAGACCCAGCCCCCAAACCAAATCTAACCCCAACCCCACATCCCTGATGAAATAAAGCCTGGAGCAACCGTCGCCGGAGCATGTGTCGTGTCGCCATCGTTGTACATTGTGGCAGATTACTTGGTACATATACAGAAATCTGAATATTATAACCATATTTGCATTAAAATTATATGTTGAGCTTATACATTATGAATATAAATATATGAATATAAATATATTTGTTTGAAATTCGAATGAATTAAATGTTGTGGTAGAAATTGCACAGCCAGATGGGTAGTGTATTTTCTTTAATAACAGAAACAGAGACAATAACAGAAACCAATAAAAATAATACTCAGTTTTTATATAGCGCGAATCACAATTAAGTCTCTAAGCGCTTCCAAACTTGGAGATTATTACCGCGGTTTTGGCTGGGCTGCCATTACAGCGCTCTAGCATTTCAAGGAATTAATTCCTGCCAGGTACCCATTTACATCCCCTGGCTTGAGTGTGGCAAATGTAGATCAATGTCTTGCCAAAGGACATTAGTGCCGCGGCGGGACTCGAACCCCCAACTTGTGATCAACAGTTCGGCGACGTAACCACTCGACCACGACCCAAAATATGGGAATAATATAATCAAATAGATTCTACAATGAATTAAACAAATTATACTTTGTAGGTAAAATGCAGATTTTGTTTTGTCTTTGGACCAATTTAGTAAAAGGTAGGGTAGTGCATAAAAATGATTTTCGCATAAAAAACATGGTCAAAAGGTTGCCATGGTAATGATCGATATATCAATAAAGAAGCAAACAAGATTTTGCACAATTAAATCTGATTCAGTTGCTCCCATGATTGGTATCCTTCACATATCACATTTCGAATTATACATTTAAGGCTTTGGCAATTAGCAAGATTGTGAAAGCATCAGTATGAAATAAAAGAGAGAGTAGAGGGAGAGAGAGAGAGATAGAGAGAGGGAGAGAGAGGGGTGTCAACGGGTTCAAATTCCGCATTTTTACGATTTTAAATTAGTAATAATAATTTTAAAACGAGGCAAAGTGGGGGTAAGTTGGTTGCAGAACATTTGAAGAGTCGTCAATGAAAAACAAACCTGCAGGTGGCGCTCTTCATATTTAACAGTTGTTCCAGTAGTGTCGCATCACATCTATGAATGTTGGTCTACCCTCAAACATGTTCTCTCACTCTCGAGAAATAGATGACTCAGTTGACCCCCTCTCTGTTTAAAAGGATGTTTTTTTTGTAAAGATGAGATTTTTCTCTCTCCGAGAATAAATAAGGTTACCGAGATTAATGTACTCCAAACCTTTGATGATATAAAATTAAGAGAAAAAACAACAACAATGAACATTCCATATTGCAAATGTGCGATATCACGTATTTTGAAATAATGTTCATTATTGTGCTCAAGGATTACACCAGGTCATGCTGACTTCTGAATATTATCTGTGTGTATAATGTGCGTACGTTTGCTTACTGAAAGGCCTGAAAATCATCAGCGAGCATAGTGAGTGAACACTTGAGAAGAAAACAAAAGTGTGGGGGGGGGGGTCGCGCGAACCCCCCCCCCCCCCCCCGAACCCCTAGTTTGTACGGGGTGCAAAATGTTTGTCCCACCTTTACGTATGCAGGTTAACGATGAATGACATAATTTATAACGAGGCACTGTCTTAATAACGATTTACGCATATACATGCAATTTTATTACATTACGAAAATGGTTATGTACTTAGTATGCGTATTAATTTTTGTGAACATTGTGGAAGATTTCCACTAGCAATGCTCATTTTGGAAAATAATCAGTGTGTAGTTTCAGAAATGGTATTGTGCCTAAGCTTTGGGCAAGCTCTTATAAAAGTCAAATTAAATACAAACACACACACATTTTGCTTTCTTTTTAGCCGTTCTTGATTACTTGTTAAACTCAGAATTAAAGTTTTATTAATACACGACAAATTTGAACTCCTACCTTGCGTCACAAAATAAATGTTCCCCGAAACAAAAATCCCTTCAACTAATTTGGGAAAATTTGATAACCATTTCTTCGATAAAGATTCCCTAATTGATGATACCGGTACAATTTGCCCCGTGTATGCTAGTATTTTTTTGATGGGCCACATCGATGTGTTAGTTTGCTAGGACAAACTCTTTTCAGTAGCTGTGCATAACAGTGTCTGCACGATGAGACCAAGGAGCTGTGTGGTTGAAGCTCCTTATTGAGGCTAGGTTGACATCATACTACATAGGGTCTGTAATATATGACACTGTCAGAGACTGACATAATTAGCCTAATTAGGCTCTGCTAAAGGCTTGTGTTTAGGAATTTTAGTAAAGTTTGATATCAAACTCTGTGCGTGCCTGCAGGCTACAGACTACGGATGGTGAATGACTGGGAGATGTCAGTGTCTTGCTTTCGTAAAACTCTAATATCACAAATGTTAATAGAATAATCGTTTTGAACTTTCAACCGAGGTTCTTGCCTTTTTGTAAATATTATGTTACATGTATATTTCTTTATCTTTTTATTTAGTGTAAAATACCAAAGCTTTGTATTTAATCACAGGACATATTTTAGCCTAGTATGTTTTCAATAGTTATTCATACTTATACATTACATTCTTATTCATTGCTGTGATACTAATGTGTGTTAGTGGTACCAGACACGATTAGCATTAAATGCTATTTTCTGGTCCCATTTATCCTTTCAATAGGGACTTTTAGATTTGCGTGGACTGATACGTGTGACGTCCATTCAAGGCAGAGCATTAAAAGGACGTCGATCGTAGCGATTCCCATTTTTTTCGTGCGAATCTAAAAGTCCTTAATGTTAAACGTTCACAATTGATTGTTATATTAATGTGTATTATGTTTGGATAATAAAGCTTCAAACTCAAACTCAAACTCAGATAGAAACATAAATAAATAATATGATAGATGAAGGGATGAATGAAGCGCGTAGCCAGGATTTGATTTTAGGGGGGCGGTAGTGATCACGCGAAGCGTGCGAATCACTTAAAGAGCGCGCAAAGCGCGCGCCCTAGGGGGGGGGGGGGTGGGTGCAGGGAGGGGGGAGTTTCTTTGAAAGAAGACGATTCGTTGTACCTTTCTCGACTCATAATCCTTGTCTGAATTCAGTCCGCCCCTATTGCGCGAAGCGCGGAAGCTTTGACGTATTTTTAGACAAAGAAAACGATTCGTTGTACCTTTCCCGACTCTTAATCCTTATCTGTATTCAGTCCCCCTTCCGCGCGAAGCGCGGAAGCTTTGACGTTTCATTAATTTATTAGAGAAAGAAGACGATTCTCGACTCTTAATCCTTATCTGAATTCAGTTTCCTCCTCTCCCGCCTAAAGCGCGGAGACTTTGAAATTTCATTACATTATTAGAGAAAGCTAGACGACTCAAAGTACCGTTCTCGACTCTTAATCCTTGTCTGAATTCCGCCCCCCCCCCCTGACTGCGATTCTGAGATTTTCACAATAATACCTTTCAGAATTTACCTCAAATAAGTTTCAACACGTTTCGCAATGTTGAGTCAATGGAAAATCTGAAAGAATACATCTATCCCGCTTTACAACTTACTACAACCTACTACGGAAACTGGCAAACTCATCTTGGGGTGCCAATTCCTCCACGCAGAGGTCAACTGCTCTTGCGTTGTGTTACTCTGCAGCAGAATATGCCTGCCCTGTATGGGGAAGATCATCCCATACAAAGAAAGTTGATGCAGCACTCAACGACAGCTGCAGATGCATCACTGGCTGCCTCAAGCCCACGAATATGGACAGCTTGCACTCCCTGGCCGGCATTGCTCCATCCGATGTCCGCAGAACAGTTGCAAGTAGGACTGAACGCAGCAGACAAGTTGAGGACACCCGCCATCCCCTTTACTCGCATCAACCGGCCCCTACCCG